GATGCTGATGCTGATAATGGTTGTGATGCTGATGCTGCTGCTGGTGCTGATGGCGCTGAGTATGCTGATGCTGATGGTGATGATGCTGATGATGCTGCTGCTGATGACGATGATCATGATGATGAGGCTGATGCTGATGATGCTGATGATGCTGATGATGCTGCTGATGCTGATAATGGTGATGCTGCTGCTGATGCTGATGATGAGGATGCTGATCACGATGCTGCTGATGATGCTGCTGATGATGGTGAGGATGACGATGATGCTGTCGCTGATGCTGCTGATGCTGCTGCTGATGCTGATGGTACAGCTGTTGCTGCTGCTGATGCTGATGTTGATGAGTGTGATGGTACTGATGATGCTGATGGTGCTGCTCATGATGAGGTTGCTGATGCTGATGCTGATGCTGATGATGATGATGATGATGATGATGCTGATGATGATGATGGTGGTGTTGATGATGCTGATGGTGATGCTGCTGCTGATGATGATTATGATGATGACGATGTCGATGATGCTGGCGATACTGATGATGCTGGTGCTGATGATGAGATGATGGTGATGATGATGCTGATGATGCTGATGAGGATGGTGGTGATGATGTGGCTGATGATGATGCTGCTGATACTGATACCGATGATGCTGATGTTGATGCGGCGGCGAATGCTGATGCTGATGCTGAGGATGATGCTGATGATGATGATGATGATGACGGTTAGGATGGTGATGATGCCGATGATGCTGCTGATGGTGATGATGATGACGATGATGCTGATGATGATGATGATGGTGATGCGGATGATGAGGAGGAGGATGAAGAGGAGGTGGAGGATGATAATGAGGACGATGAGGAGGAGGAGGAGGAGGAGGAGGACGCGGAGGCGGACGATGATGAGGAGGGGGAGGCGGATGAGGATGAGGATGCGGATGGGGAGCATAATGAGGATGCGGAGGCGGGGGACGAGGAGGATGAGGACGAGGAGGAGGACGCGGAGTAGAAGAGGAGGAGGATGAGGACTATGAGGAGGAGGAGGAGGCGGATGGGGGAGGAAGAGGCGGAGGAGGAGGAGGAGGAGGAGGAGGAGGAGGAGGAAGTATAATAAGATTGATCGGACGAGGACGAGGACGAGGGCGATGAAGATGAAGATGACGAGGAGGCAGATGAGGACGAGGAGGATGATGAGGAGGAATATGAGGAGGAGGCGGAGGAGGAGGATTAGGAGGCGGGGGAGGGGGAAGGGGAGGGGGAGGAGGAGGAGGAGGAGGAGGAGGAGGAGGGATGAGGAGGAGAAGGAGGCGGACGAGGATGAGGAGGAGGAAGGATAGTGGGAGGAGGAGGATGACGAGAAGGCGGAGGAGGGCGAGGCGGAGTTGGAGGAGCAGAGGAGGAGGAAGAGCAGGAGGAGGAGGAGGAGCAGGAGGAGGAGCAGGAGGAGCAGGAGGAAGAGGAGGAGGAGGAGGACGAAGAGGAGGAGGAGGAGGCGGAGGAGGGGGAGGAGAGGGGGATGAGGGGGGGGGTGGATGAGGATGAGGAGGAGGAGGAGGAGGAGGAGGAGGAAGACGAGGAGGAGGATGAGGACGAAGCAAGCGAATTATCATAAGAAGGCTCCTGCGAATAACATTCGCAATAGTAGTAATACTGCGAATAAGACGGATACTAGTACGAACAATACTCGTACCACTAACAATACTAAGGCCACGAATGGCAATCACACTAAATCTATCAGTGGCAGCAGTGTTATGAGTACTCAGGACACGAACAATAATACGTCAACTTATGATAATTCGGGTCATAATCGTACTCATAATAAACATAATCATGCGAATGTTAGTACTACTAGTTATAATGATTCTGATAATAGTAATACTCATATTATTTCTAATGCCACTGCTAATAATCATGATGCTGATAGTATTAGTAACAAGAATACTAACACGAACGATCGTATTATTACCACTACTAGTACTACTATTACTACTCCTACTGCTAATACTGATACTAGTGCTAATACTAATAGGTATACTCATAAAACTACGGATTGAAACAACAACTACGAGCAACACTACCACAGCCAATAACAATGGTTATAGTTATACGAATAGTAATGGGAGCACTCGTAAAACTCATACGAAGAATAACAATACCAATACTCATAACACTAATACTACTAATACACATACGACTGTAGATAAGACTGAAAAGAACAGTACTAGTATTACGAAGAAACCTAACAAGAAGAGGAGGAGGAGGTCGGACAGTGAAGAGGACGAGGGCGACGACGATGGGGAGGAGGAGCAAGAGGAGGAAGAGGAGGAGGAGGAGGAGGCGGAAGCGGAGGAGGAGACGGTGGAGGAGGAGGAAGAAGAGGAGGAAGAGGAGGAAGAGGTGGAGGAGGAGGAGAAGAAGGAGGAAGAGGAGGAGGAGGAGGAAGAGGAGGAGGAGGAGCAAGAGGATGAGGCGGATGAGGAGGATGAGGAGGAGGGGGAGGAGGAGGACGACTAGGAAGCTGTAGATGAGGAGGGGGAGGAGGAGGAGCAGGAGGCGCATGTGGCGGAGGAGGAGGGGGAGACGGATAATGAGGATGATGATGATGATGATGATGATGATGATGATGATGATGATGATGATGATGATGACAATGATGATGATGATGATGATGATGATGATGATGATGATGATGATGATGATGATGATGATGATCATGATGATGATGACGACGATGATGATGATAATGAAGATGAGGATGAGGATGAGGATGATGACGATGATGCTTATGATGATTATGATGATGCTGATGCTGACACCGGTGATTATGATGATGCTGATGATGTCGATGAGGATGCGGATTCTGACGGCGATGATGACGCTGCGGATGCTGATGATGCCGAAGATGATGCTGATGACGTTGTCGGTGCTGATGAGGATGACTCTGACGATGATGCTGATGCTGATGTTGATTATGATGCTGATGATGATGTGGCTGCTGATGATGATTATGCTGTGGATGATGAGGCTGCTGATGATGACGATGATGCTGCTGATGATGATGCTGATGCTGATGATGCTGCTGATGATAATGATACTGACTTTGATGATGCTGATGATGATGATGATGATGATGATGATGATGATCATGGTGCTGCTGGTGATGATGATGCTGATGATGATGACGATGCTGATGATGATGATGATGATGATGATGCTGATGCTGTTGATGATGATGCTGACGATGATGCTGATACTGATGATGTTGATGATGCTGCTGCTGCTGGTGATGATGATGATGTTGCTGATGCTGCTGATGATGACGATGATGCTGCTGATGATCATGTTGATGATGCCGATCATGACGACGATTATGATGATGCTGTTGATGCTGATTATGATGATGCTGATATTGATGCTGATGATGCTGATGATCATGGAACTTTTGATGATGATGGTGATGGTGGTGATGATGATGCTGATGATGATGATGAGTGTGATGGTGCTGATGATGCTGATGATGATGCTGATGCTGATGCTGATGATGATGATGATGATGATGATGATGGTGATGATGATGATGATGATGATGATGATGATGATGGTGATGATGATGATGCTGCTGCTGACGCTGATGATGATGCTGATGCTGATCCTGACGCTGATTATGCTGATGATGATGGTACTGATGCTGATCCTGACGCTGATGATGATGCTGATGAGGAGGAGGATGGCGAGGCTGAGAAGGACAGGCGGAGGAGGAGGAGGATGGGGAGTAGGAGGGGGAGGAGTGGGGGAAGGGAACAGATGGAGGAACGTGACGGAGGAAGGAGCATGACACAGGACATTGATGATGCATTTTAGGGGCGAACCACTTCTGATAACTGAATCTTGGTGTCATAGCCAGCTCGGAGTTTCGACGGGCCGCCTGGGAACAATTTTCGGCAATTTCTGAACTGTCTTGAGGGTCGCGGAATGTAGTTTGTACCCCCCCCTCCAAGGATCAGTAGGGTGGGGCAGAAGCGCCTGTGCGAGCACGATTTTGCTCGCTGATATACAACGTACGTGTTCGCGCAAGATCGTGACATGGTGTGATAGGACGTCTAAGGGATTGGTTAGTCCGTATTGAGAATTGGTTGTGCCGTTTTGAAGCCATATCCGGCCGTCCCTAAGCCCTCTTGAGGGCGCAGAATGCGGTTTTGCCCCCCTCTTGAGGATCCTTGGGCGGGGGTTCAAAATTGCACTTGCGAGCACGATCTTGATCGCAGACATACAACATCCATCCACCCGGTGGTGTAATGGTGTAATAGTGTAAACGCTGCACCATTTCACAAAAAGGTCAACGGGTGCAGTGGTGTAGAACCCAGGCCTTTCCACAACATTATGTATTGGTGCAAAGGTGTCAAACCAGCCAAGTTCCACAACATTGTGTAATGGTGTACTGGTGTAGCGCGTCCACCATCTCGCAGAATGGTGTAACGGTGTAAAGGTGTAAAGCGCGCACCTTTGTGTAAAATGGTGTGCAGGTGTAGTGGTGTAGCGCTTACACCAATTTCCAAAATGGTGTAATGGTATCGTGGCGCAGGTTTCAGTTATCAGATCCAGAGCGCCCCCACACTGGGACCCCCGACCGCGTCCCCAGGGGCAGCTGTCCGTCCCTGATATGCTTTTGGTGTTCCTGGGGCCTAGAAGCGTCCCCTAGCCGCCAGAACGAACGACGCAGAAAACCGGGTTCGGCTGTGCCGACATTCGCGCGCAAACTGCCCGCGAAGGGTCGCGCGTGGGCGTCTTCGCTTCCACTGGGCGGCCCGCGCAAGTCACCGCGCAAGGTCGCTACGTCGTCTCGCGCGAGGCCCTTGGCCTTTTTTCGTCGCTCAGACGTCTGGGGATCCACCCCGTCTTCCTCGGGGTCTGGATGCACCCTTCTCGTTGCCGCCCGCTGGCGCTGTGCTGGAGGGGAGCAGCCGCGGACAAGGGGGCCTCCTCATGGGGGCCGCCGGCCTGCGACACCGAGGCATGGTGCTGTTCGAGCGGGACGCGGCGAACGTCAAGTTTGTTGAGTGGAGCCCAGGGGGGTCGGAGGAGGAACGAACCCAGACATGCTCGCGTCGTGAGCAAAAACAGGACGGGAGGTTTTTGGCCGTTCTCGGCCTCCGGGGGCCCTCACTGGGCCCCAGGACCGTCCAGAAACGACTCAGGATGCAAATCCAGTCCTGGAGAAAGGGTCGGGTTTGTCAGGAATCGAGTATTGAACAATCAGGACGTCGCATGTCTGGGGAGACCACCGCCACCGAGAACCCATCGGGAAGGACCCACCTCTGGGCTGTGGCACTCCCGAGCGTCGTCCGGTACGGGGCGACGCTCGGGCTTGCCACTGCCCAGGGGTCGCCCCCCCCTTCCCCCCCCGCCGATGGGTTCTCGGTGGCGGTGATCGTTGTTTCTCTCTTTTGAAGAGGGGGCGAAGATGATCCAGGATCGAGGGTCGAGGGTCGAGGGTCGAGGATCGAGGGTCGAGGATCGAGGATCGAGGATCGAGGGTCGAGGATCGAGGGTCGAGGATCGAGGGTCGAGGTATTCGGGCGTTTGTGGGTCGCCCGGCTGCGCTCTCGCGGGCACCGCTGGGCTCTCTCCACGATACGCCTGGCCAGAGCGCATCTCTGGACAGGGGCGGGAGGGCGCTTCTTGACCCCTGGGCACGACCCAGACCTGCAACGCCCTGGGATAACAGAACGCTCATTGTAGCCATTTTCGGTGTCCCAGGTGCCGTTTTGTCGGGCTCCGGGGAGGCCAGCAGAAGCATTCCGGGATGAAGAACCAGTCCTGCGGTTTTTTAATCCATATCCAGAGGATGGGGTTCTTGGCATGCACCACATCCAAAGGATGGGTTTCTTGTTCCCTGGGGGTACAGATTGCGATGATGTCCCAAGCGGTTTGCCTTTTTGCTGACCGGGCTCAGATTCTGATGAGGTCTTGGGCGAGGCACTGGTTTTCGCACCCCAGGGGGGCCAGATTGCGAGGATGTCTCGGACAGTTTGCCTGTTGTGCTGACCAGGCTCGTCTGCGCTCAGAGCAGCTTCTGAGGATGTCTCGGGTGAGGCGCTGGTTTCAACAGCCCAAGGGGCCCAGATGGCGAGGATGTCTCAGATTCACTTCTGCTCAAACTCCCTCGTGCTCAGACTCACTCATACTGAGACTCGTACTCATCATATTCATATTCAGGCTCACTCGCATTCAGATTTACGCACATTCATAGCCACGCACACTCAGATCCATCCTCTCTCAGACTCGCTCGTAGTCAGACCCACTCGCATTCAGACCCAGTCAGACTCAGACTCATATTCATCATACTCATACCCAGACTCACTCACATTCAGATTTACCCACACTCAGAATCACTCACAGTCAGACCCGCCCATCCTCAGGTCCACTCTTAGTCAGACTCACTCGTACTCAGGCCCATTCAGACTCAGACTCGTACTCTTTACGTTCATGCTCAGACTCACCCACACCCAGACTTGCCCGCAGTCAGACTCACTCTTACTCGGACTCGCTCGTGCACTTGCTTATATACGCAGGATAAGACCCACTCGTAATCAGACTCGCTCATACTTATAGACTAACTAACATTCACACTCAACCATACGAGGACCCGTTTGTACTCCAGGCCCGTTCATGTTCGAAAACCCTTGCGCATGGACGCTCACGGCGGCCAGGTCCATGCAAACAGATGCACATGTGGGGGGCTCCACGCAGTGAGTAATTATCTGGACAGCGCGGGACGAACACAGGAACCTCCCACCCTCAGGTCACCATTCTGACTCACTCGCATGTAGACTCACCCATATTCAGACTCACTCGTTCTCAGGTGCACTCGCTCTCGGATGACTGATACTCAGATTTCTCATGCTCGGGATCACTCATACGCAGTCTCACTCACACTCCGAGTCGCTTTCCCCAGCTCAGACTCATTCGCATCACTTCTCGTACTCGATATTGATCATAGTCAGGTCACTCATATTCTGTTCCGCCCGCATTTAGACTGACTCATACTTTTTTTCACTTACATGCAGGCGCACTCACTACCAGAGCAACGAAGCTCGCGCCAGGAGCTTCCGACTAGCTCTCAGGTCACACTGAATTGCACTCGGATTTGCGAGGATTTCCCAGGCGGGGCGCTGGTTTCAGCTTCTCCGAGGGAGGGCGCCAGGGGGTATTGCACGGACCCGCTCGCGCTCAGACTGTGGGAATGTCTCAGGCGGTTTGCCTGTTTGCGTGCTCAACATCCGCTGCCTTCGGAGCCGTTTGCGAGGATGTCCCCGGCGTGGCGCTGGTTCCAGCCTCCCCAAGGGCGGGCGCCAGGAGATATTGGGTGCAGGGTTTGGTTGGGGGTTCTCGATCTCGGTCCCGTCACTCCAGCTTGGCCATTTTTTCGCTGCCCTCTCAATTGGTCTCTCGAGCCTTGAGCCTAAGCATTCGTGCATGTCCTGCATGTGCCGGCTTCGCTTGGGCTGCCCTCCCACGGAGTTTTTTTGTTTGTTCCTTTTGCGCGGTCGCTCGCCTAGTGCACCCACCCTCTTGCTTCGCCTGGTGGATTTGACGATGGCCTGTACTCGCTCCTGGGACGTCACTCGGCCTGCGGAGGAAACACGTGTGCGCGTGTGTGTGTGTGTGTGTGTGTGTGTGTGTGTGTGTGTGTGTGTGTGTGTGTGTGCGTGTGTGGTGTGTGTGTGTGTGTGTGTGTGTGTGTGTGTGTGTGTGTGTGTGTGCGTGTGTGTGTGTGTGTGTGTGTGTGTGTGTGTGTTGTGTGTGTGTGTGTGTGTGTGTGGTGTGCGTGTTCGTGTGCGTGTGGGTGTGGCGTGTGGCGTGGGTGTGCGTGTGTGTGTGCGTGTGCGTGTTGTGTGTGCGTATGCGTGTGCGTGTGAGCGTGAGCGTGCGTAGCGTGTGTGTGTGTGTGCGTGTGCGTGTGTGTGTGTGTGTGCGTGTGTGCGTGTGTGTGTGTGTGTGTGTGTGTGTGTGTGTGTGTGTGTGGTGTGTGTGTGTGTGTGTGTGTGCGTGTGTGTGTGGTGTGTGTGTGTGTGTGTGTGTGTGTGTGTGTGTGTGCGTGTGTGTGTGGGGGGGTGGGGGTGTGGGTGTGGGTGTGGGCGTGGGTGTGTGTGCGTGTTCGTGTGCGTGTGGCGTGTGGCGTGTGGCGTGTGCGTGTGTGTGTGTGTGTGTGTGTGTGTGTGTGTGTGTGTGTGTGTGTGCGTGTGCGGTGTGTGTTTGTGTGTGCGTATGCGTGTGCGTGAGCGTGTGCGTGTGTGCGTGTGTGCGTGTGTGTGTGTGCGTGTGTGTGTGTGTGTGTGTGTGTGTGTGGTTGTGTGTGTGTGTGTGTGTGTGTGCGGGTGTGTATGTGTGTGTGTGTGTGTGTGTGGGTGTGTGGGTGTGGGTGTGGGTGTGGGCATGGGTGCGGGTGTGGGCGTGGGTGTGGTTGTGCGTGCGTGCGTGCGTGCGTGCTTGCGTGTGTGTGTGTGTGTGTGTTTCTGTGTGTGTGTGTGTGCGTGTGTGCACTCGTGTGTGTGTGTGTGTGTGTGGGTCTTAGCTCGCTCCGCTTGCTGACCGTCTCCACCGCGTCGCTGCGCGCGCGGCCGCGTCGCCAGAAAGCGTGTGTGTGGTGTTCCGTTCTTTTGAAGAGTGGCCTGCGTGGGCTCGAGTCTGGCACCTCCGCCACCGTCCTCGCTTGCCGCCATTCGCGCTCCGCCTTCCCTCTGCCCGAACCGTTCCCCGGAATGCAAGCCAACGGGGGCAACGTCCAATTCCGCACCATCGACCACATGCAAGGAGACGAAACCGACTTGGTCATCATCACTTGCGTGCGCTCCAACGGCAACTTCGACCTCGGGCATCTCGACTGCTCCTGCCGCTTCAACGTTGCGCTCGCTTGTGGCCAGCGGGCTTGCATCGTGATCATGAGTGCCGCAATGGCGCAGGCCAACAGTGGTGCGCAACTCGGCGCCTTCGTCGAGTTCGAGGACCGCGCCAGGCTCCCGTGCCAGCTCGCCAAACCTGCCAGCCCCGTCGAGTTCACCCGCATTTCCTTCCGCAACGCACTCGGGGCTGCCCCTTCCTTCAACAGGGTGCGCAAGGGCGGCCAGGCCAACTGCGCCCTCGCCTCGCAGCAAGCAAGGGTTTCATCGTCAAAGTGCGCCGTGAAGAGCTGTGCCGCTGGCTTCAGAGGTTGGTCGAGGGCTCCGCCTTTCTTCGTCTTCTTCTTCTTCTTCTTTTTCTTCCTCTTCCTCTTCTTCTTCTTCTTCTTCTTCTTCTTCTTCCCTTCTTCTTCTTCTTCTTCCCCTCGCCTGCGTCCTCCGCCTGCACCATCACCGCTTCAACTCCGTGCATCCATCTCCCCCCCTGCCAGCGCCTTCGACCGCCAGATGGTGTCGCAGCTTGCCCAGAACCTTCACCCCGTGCTCAGGTGCGACGCTAGTAACATCTGCTTCGCCCTCCAGCACTACGCCCTCCGTCGCTACCCTGGTCTCTACCCCTGCTGCGACAATCAGGCCGCTGGCTCTCGTCCGCAGACATGCGCTCCCCACTCGCGCGCGGTAGGGTGAGGAGCGCGTCGCCAGGAAGGCGGGCTGCGCTGAGGCGAAGTGCATATCCCCAGGCTCCTCACGGAGGCGACCTGCCAGTACCCCCTTCACGAGGCTGAGCCACCCGACGACCTAGCCCGCCGCCTGCTCGCTCCTCCGCTTCTCACTGGCGCCCACAACTTCCTCCTTCTCCTCCTCTTCCCCCTCATTCCTCCTCTTCCTCCTCTTCCTCCTCTTCCTCCTCTTCCTCCTCTTCCTCCTCCCTCCTCCCTCCTCCCTCCTCCCTCCTCCCCTCCCTCTCCCTCCTCTCCTCCTCCCTCTCCTCCTCCTCTCCTCCTCCTCCTCCTCCTCCTCCTCCTCCTCCTCCCCCTCCTACTCCCTCTCCTCCTCCCCTCCCTCCTCCTCCTCCTCCTCCTCCTCCTCCTCCTCCTCCTCCTCCTCCTCCTCCTCCTCCTCTCTGCCCTCCCCGCCGGCGACTCCAGCAGCGCAGGGGACTGCGCCGAGGCGCTCTTGGGGCCTTGCTGCCCCCCTGTTATGGCGTAGGCGGGCCCTTCTGGGAAGCCGTTCTCGCTCTCGCTGACGCGTCCGCCGACGACCTGGCCGACTGCCCGGCCGCGATCGAGGGGTGCCTTAAAGCCATCGTACGCCTCGTGATGTACGCGCTTGGATCTGCCATCCTGGACGGCCCCAGCAGACGGGAGGCCGTCACCCCCCATGGCTGGGATGCGGCCGACCCGGACGACCGCGTCTTCCGGGTCTTTGACAACCACTTCCCTCCGCTCCTCCTGCACTCGGGCATGTCCCTCTACAGGAGGAATATTCCCAAAGAGTCCAAAACTAGTATGTGGATTTTATCATATGTTTGACTATTTTCGAGCATTGTTGGACTATTTTTTTAATTTTTTCTTCCAAGATCCGCCTGTGGAGGGACATGCCCGACCTCACCCCAGTATCTGTCAGGTCTGCCTGGTCCTCGAGGGCGCAGGGGCGGCCTCTGCTCCCAACGGCCCCAGACCGCAGGCTCCCGAGGGCCCGCCGGCATCCTCCTCGGGCGCCGCCAGGAGTACCGGGGCCGCTCGGATCGTCTTCCTGCATCTGGGCGAGGCCACCGGCGACGAGGCCCTGGTCGCCAGTGGCGCGGTGTGCGGCCACTGCCTCCTCGCTGGGGCGGCGGCCCGCGGCGCGGCGAGGGCGCCCAGGCGCACCGCGGCGGCAGTCGCGCGCGCCGCCACCTCCGCGGCGGTCTTCGCCCGTGGCCCGGAGCCGTGCGCTGCGGACGGCGCTGCTGGGCGGAGGTGGGCCCTGCGTCGGCCCTGGCCGAGGCCCCCTGTCCCAGCCTACCTCCTCCTCCTCCTCCTCCTCCTCCTCCTCCTCCTCCTCCTCCTCCTCCTCCTCCTCCTCCTCCTCCTCCCCCTCCTACTCCCTCTCCTCCTCCTCCTCCTCCTCCTCCTCCTCCTCCTCCTCCTCCTCCTCCTCCTTCTCCACCCAGCGGGACCCGCGGGCGCCGCCGCCTCCTCTGCGGCCCCGCCCAGCCACGACGCCGCCAGCCCTGGGCAGCGCCGCGGGAAGGCCCCGCCCTGGCGTTGGGGCGCCGGCCCTGGCGGGGCGGGCTCCTCTGGTCGCGGCGGAGTGGCGGCGGCTCCGGCGAGGGCCCGGACCCCGGCGCGGGCCATCGTTCAGGAGGGGGAAAAACACACAAACACAAGTAATCGTCGACTCCCAGGAAAGTATTGGAAAATATGGGAAGTGGGGGGGGGAAGACAAAAACCAGGAAAAGATGGGACAAGATGGGGAATCCAGTTACTTGTGTGTACTTATTTGTGTGTCCCAGGGCCCCTTCAATCGTGCCCAGGATCCCCCCCCCTGCCAGCCCCCACTTGGTGCCCGCGGGCCCACCGCCTGCAGGCTCTGGCCAACTTGCAAGCGCACCTCGCTCCACCGCCCGAGGCCCTTCGCCGGCTTCCCCCGACAGTGTCGGGCGCGTGCCCGAGCCCTCCACTCACCGTCCCCCGGGGGGCGCGCCCTTGCACGATTTGGCGCGCTGGATCGTGGAGTGCTGGGTCACCAGCGGTTGCCCGCTCCTCGGGAGCGACAGCCTCCCCCGAGAGCTGGGTCGGCGACCTCAACCAGTGGGTCCCCCGCCGCCCGACGCCTCTCCTGCCCCGCCCAACGTCCCCGCACTCTCGCAGACGAGCTCCGCAGGCTGGCCGACGCTACTGACTGTCAGGAAGCGCCTCGTCTCCCGCAGGGAGGGTGCCGAGCAGCCCCCTCGCTCGGGACGCCTTCGGGGACGGCCCTGCTGGGAACCGCGCGCGGCTCGACGACGTGCCTGCCCTGGGCGCCGAGCTGCAGAGGTGCTCTTCCTGCAGCGCTTCGCCACCGTGGGAGAGGCCTCCTCCCCCCCCCTCCGCCATCTGGGCCAGCCTGCGCGCCCGCAGAGGGAGTCCTTGGCGGACCGCGGCGGCCCTCGGCGATCGAGGCCGCGGGGAGCGACGAGAGCGAGGGCGCCCCTCCTGGCGACGACCGCGGCCGGGCCCCCGACGGCCAGCTGGGCGCCGTGCCGGTGCTCGCCACCGCGCTCCCGCTGCGCCCCTCGCCCTCCGCCTCCCGTGGGCAGCCCGGGCGCCCAGGGCGCGGCCTCTGGCGGCGCAGCAACCCCTCCGCCCGGCCCCGCGCCCCCTGCTGGTCTGCCGTTCGCATCGCTCTGCCGACGCTCCCACTGCTCCGCTCGCCCGGCACGACTTGGCCCTCGATCGTGACAGCCGGTGGGGTGCAGCCAGGCTTTCGGAGCGCTGAGCTCTGGCGCACCGTTCTCCGTCGCAACGGCCCCACATCCGCTGACCCCCAGTCTCAGCCTTCGACGCTTCTGCGCAGCTTCCTGGTACGCGCATGCGGCTCCTACGCCAACCCTGCTACTTGCGTCCCTGCCTCGAGGTTGCCTCGTGGCTACGACGAGCGCTCTTCCCAGGCGCCCGCCCACCTCGTCCAGCGCGTAAGCGACATCCATCAGGGGTGCCTTGGGGCTCCCATGCGCGTGGAAAGATGTCCTTTCTCACCCTGCGCCGCGCGGGAAAACGTTTCTGCGCAATGGCATCAAGTTGGTGGAGCCTCACCTGTTGCAAGCTTCCCCGATGCGCATGACATGGTGCGGCTCCAGGGCTGGCCCCGCAGAGATCACGCAGAGAGACGGACCCTTGCGCTGGAGCCTCGGCGCCAGGAAGACGTCCAGGTCCCCTTAATGGGGGGTCTGATGCCCCTGCCGCCGCTCCCAAGGCCGCGGGCGCGCCTGCGCATTCCTACGCTGCCATCGGTGCTGGCAGCGCGGCTCCCGCGCCCGCTTCTCGTGGCAGGTCCTCTGGCGCTCGCCGGCCCGTCTCGATGCGCCTCCCCAGCCTGGTCCGTCCACTCAGGGCCGCCCGGCGCTGTGGCTCAA